TCAGAATAAGGGGGCCGAACGGTCATTCACTGTCCCTGGGTGCTTGGCTGAAATGGGCTTCCGCGGTTCGGATTGCTATTGTTGTTGTCGTCGTCGTGTTGTTGTTGTTGTTGTTGTTGTTGTTGTTGTTGTTGTTGTTGTTGTGATTGTTGTTGTTGTCGCTGGTGTTGTTGATGATGATGTTGTTGTTGTTGCTGTGAATGTTGTTGTTGCTGGTGGTTGTTTGTTGCCTGTTGCTGGTCGCTTGTTGTCGTCGTCCCGCCCGCGACTCGGTCCGCGACCCACCCGCGATCCACCCGCAATCTACCCGCGACCCATCCACAAGCCGAACCGCGACCCACCCGCGAACCGCCCGCGACCCACCCGGGACCCAGCCCGCGACTCGCCCATGACCCAATCGCAACCCACCCCGCGCCCGCCCACCCACTCTTACCCGCAAATGCGAGATGCTACGTGGGCGATTTCGGAAACCAAGGATTGCAAAAAAACCCTGGGTTTTTTTGCAATCCTGGGTTTTTTTGCAATCCTTCGTTCAAGTGGGGTTTTTTTGCAATCCTTCGAACCCAAAAACGTCGTCACCTCTTGGCAGCGCATGTTTTACTTCCGCCGCCCTCCGCCGAGCTTCCGCGGGCGGAGGCGGCCCCGTGTTACTTCCGCCGACCTTCTGCCGCCTCCCGCCGAGGAAGAGATGACAACACCTTCGATCTTCGAAGGCGAAGCCCTTTTCGGAACGCTTCATGTTTGCATATATATATATATATATATATATGTATATATATATATATATATATATATCTATATATATATATTCGCAAGATTTTGGAATGACGGCTCCATTTGCCGACATTCCCGGCAGGCGCTAAGCGCTCCTATTGTGTGACCTGTAGTCCTCTGGAACGCGGAACCCATCCACACCGACTCCAACAATCTCCAATGGCCTGCCTAACATCGCTCAAGGGACACTACCTAGCGGCCTGCCTAACATGGCTCGAACACGTCTTCGACGCGTCGGCAGCCCCAAGAGCGCGTGCCGAGACTCCCTTCTGCGCCTTCGTGGCCGTCGTCGAAACCTTGGGGGCGGGCCCAGCAAGGCGAAGGCAGTGAGCACCCGTGATTTTGTTTTGTCGGACGTTTGCTATCTCACTATCCGCCGAACCTGTCGGCCTTTCGTGGCTTGTCGAGCGAAGCCCTCGCAGAATCCGTCCATCCCATACATTATTGTAGCCACTTCCGCACATGATTGATCCATCTCATAAGGAAGCCACTCTCCCGGGATCTCTTCCCCACTGCGGGGGGCGTCCCACGGACATGGCTGAACGACTCCTAAAGATGCCCGCCCGTCTGATCCAGCACGCGGCAGGCAGAAGAGACATCCACATCAACATGAGCTTTCGGAGGTCCGCGCGGATTTCTCTGGTCGGAGCTGGACCCCCCTCCCTGGCGCGCGGAGCGCGCCACTTCTGGCGCTGGAGAAGCCGCCAGAAGGAGCCAATTTCGATCCAAGATCAGCGCGGACCTCCGACAATTTACGTTTCTTTTTTTCCATTCCTTCATTCTCAGCACGACGCAGAGCTGGACATATTGCTTGCTTGGTTTCATCACGAGGGGGGCAATCTGGGGGAGACTGGCTCAGGGGTGGCACATTAAGCTGGATTCGGCGATGCATCGCCGACAGATGAAATATAGGCCCCCCATAGCGGCTCTTGTGAATGGGTGGGGCCATCGGGCCCCTATCGGCGACGAGTGGGCGCACGGGAGTCGATGCGTCCCCCCCTGAGCCCATCCCCCACCAGCGTTGCCTCTGATTGGAGCACGAGGCAGAGGCAGAGAGGGAGGGAGAGCGTGGAAGTACTTAGTGAAGGGGGGCTAGCGAATCTGCTGACGTAGCCGTCTTTCCTGGCCCCTCCCGGTGCGCCCCGATGTGTCGAGGAAAACGCCCCGCCCCGCGGTGGGACCGAAACCAGCTCTGCACGCGGCAGATTTCGCCCCCCCCCCCCCCCCCCTGTCCCTATCCCCCCCCCGTCCGTCCGACCGGACCTCCGAGAGACGCTGCTTGTGCAGCTCTCTGCTCTTCGACCCACTGTTTGGCTCCGCCAGCAGCCGAACACGCCTCGGAAGCAACAACACCTCCCGGCCCCCATGGGGCACCGCCAGCCTCGCCACAGCGCGCGGCGAGGCTGGCGCGCACCAGCGCGGCGCTTTGGCCCGCGCGCCGCTGCGGGCGAACGGGCCCAGCGCCCTGCAAGGCAGCGCCGGCCCGTGCAGAATACCGAGGGTCAACGTCGGGGGGAACGTCGAGCTCTTCCTCCCGCGCCAGGCACGATGCGGGCCTGGGCGGTTTGGGCGTTTTTTTTGTCCAAGGGAGGCGATCTATGACTCATTGTTGAAGGCCCCCCTAATGAAGGATCCCTGACTGAGGCCTCCTGCACAGGGATTCCTTGCTGCGGGCGCATTGCTGACGGCCCCCTAATCGAAGGATCCATTACGTAAGACTCCTGACTGAGGCCCCCTTTAGCCAGGATTCCTTACTAAGCGTTCCTGGCTACGGATTTGCGATCAAGGACTCTTCAGAAAAGGCTCCGTTCCAAGGGGTGCCTTACCAAGGGTTCCCTTGTTTGGATTCGTTATTGTTGATTTCTCAACAAACGATTTCCGCAAGAAGGATTTCTTACTACGGGCACCTTACTAACAACCCAGTAGTCAGGAAACCTTATTCAGGTCACCCATCGAAGGATGCATTACGTAGGATTCCGCACTGAAGACCCTGTAAACCAGGATTCCTGACTGGGGGGTTCTGAATACGGATTTACGATTCAGCCCTTAGTAAGGGATCCTCGTTAGTAAGGATCCTTACTCTGAAACCCTTGATAAGGTGTTCTTCCGATGGGATCCTAATGAAGGGGTTCTAACTAACGAATCCTTGTGAAGGATTCCTTAATCACGGGCCAGTAATGAGAACTATTCGTAAGGAACCCTGTCAGGGACCCTTACGAAGGGATCTAGGCTAGGAAGTCCTCAGTAAGGATTCCTTGATCACGCCCCGTTAGAAAGAGACCCTTAGTAAGGAATCCTTGCGCAAGAGTTCTTCGCAAGGGGTCCGTGCAAGGAAATCCTTCGTAAGGAATCCTGGCCAGGGATTATTTAGTAAGGAACCCTTGGCGAGGAATCCATATTAATAACTCATCAATAACGAATGCAGACCCCGAAATCCTCCGTAAGGAACCCTCTGTCAGGTTTGCTTGTCCGGGAGTCCTTGCTGAGGAGTCCTTGGTGTCACAGTGATGGTTCCCTCGTAGGGCAACCACGCTCTGGGTTCCCCAATGAAGAATTATCATACGGATTCCTCGTCGAGGATTCTGTATTACGGGGTCCTTTTTAAGGGTTCCTTATCCAGGATTCCTTTTTAAGCGTCCCTCTCGAAGGATTTCGGATTTGAAGTTCAGGATTTCTTCCTAAGAACTCCTTCCAAAGGACTCCTTACTAAGGAGCCCTTACGAAGGAGGCGCTACTAAGGAATCCTTATTAAGGATTCCCGAGTCTGAATTCGTTGATAAGGCTTTCATGTGAAGGATTCCTTACGGCGGATACCGTAGACATGGTTCATCAACACAGATTCCTTATCAAGGGTTCCTTGATACGTTTCTGATCTCAAGGATTCCTTGGTAGGGATCCCCTACTAGGGAAGCTTTGTTGTTCGCGCTCCCGACTAAGGATTCCCTCAGAAGGATTCCGAAGGATTCTGTATTACGGGTTCTTTGCGACGGATTTCTCAATAAGGGTACCTCATTCAGGGCGTATTCCAAGGATTCCGTACGAAGGATGTCCAGTAAGGAGTCTTTACTATGAACTCCTCGGTCATTATTCCTTACTGAGGAGTCCTTACAAAGGAGGCGGTAGTGAAGAACCTGGACTAAGGATCCCGGAAGATCTCGAGGGATTCTTGGGCCTCGCAAGGATTCGCAAAGACCCGCCAGGATTCCACGGGTTTCCTATGGATTCCGACTGGAGGGAGAGGGGGAAGAGAACCATGAAACAAAAGCAGCACAAAGCACAAACAGTGATGTCGGAAGAGCTTATGGGGAGAGGGGAGGCGTGTGTTTGTCCGAAATCCTAGGTTCCCCCCCCTGTTTTTTTGCAACGTTATTTTTTTTGTGTTTTCGGCGGGGTGCTCAAAAACGCCCAAGCCGCGCAGGCCTGTATCGTGCCTGGCGCCCCTCCTCCTCCTCCTCCTCCTCCTCCTCCTCCTCCTCCTCCTCCTCCGCCTCACCATCTTTCTTCTCCTCGTCCACCTCCTCCTCCTCCTCATCATCATCCGCCTCTTCCTCCTCCTCCTCCTCCTCCTCCTCCTCCTCCTCCTCATACTCCTGCCTCTCTTCCTCCTTTTCCTCCACCTCCACCTCCTCCTCCTCCTCCGCCTCCATTCCTGCTTCATCTTTTCTCCCTCCTCCTCCTTCCGACAAGGAGGGGCGAGGTTCGAGCTTCGAGATTGTTGGGCGTTTCCGTCGGCTCCCCGCAGCCTTCCAGCAGCAGCGCTTCGCCGAGGCCGTTCTGGGGCTGCCTGGATCGTCCCAAACGGCCGCCAGAGACCCGAGCCATGGCCCGAACACCAGGGGACCGGTTCAGGGAGGAGAGGGGAACAGCGAACTGGAATCGGCGATGCATCGCCGGTAGATCGGCGATGGGCCCCCGATCGCAAATCCGTGCGCTCCTAGGCGGCGTGGGGCTATCGGACCCCTATCGGCGATCAATGGGCGACTGGGTGTCGATGCGTCCGCCCTTGAGCCTAATCCCCCCTAACGTTGCCGCTGCGATACGCGTCAAAAATATTGTGAATCAGTTGGCGCTGGGATACAGCGGTGGTCACATAGACTATTCACCAGCGGTGACCAACTACCATCGCAAAAAATTGTCATTGAAATGGGAGGGCCGTGTTCGGGGGGGAGGAGGAGCAGGAAGAGAAGTATTAGGAGTAATAGTGGAGGAGATGGCAGAGGTCTCACTCACTCGGCATCTTCGGATTTCATGCTCAGGCTCATCTTGCCCGCTCCGACGTCCACGCTGACCACACGGACCTGAACCTCCTGGCCGACCTCGAGCTCGTCCTCGACGCTCTCTACGAAGCCATCCTTGATCTGCGTGATGTGCACCAGGCCGCTCGCAGTGGCGTCGCTGTCTGGCGCTTTCACGTCCACGAAAGCACCAAAGGAAGGGAGGCTCGCGACCGTGCCCTTTATCCACGTGGACGGATCGATCCCCTCGAAGGGGGTCAGATCAACGGGCTCCCTCTGCGCACGAAAGGAGTCAGCATCTTCGGATTTCATGCTGAGTCCCATCTTGCCCATCCCGGTGTCCACGCTGACTACACGGACCTGCACCTCCTGGCCGACCTCGAGCTCGTCCTCAATGCTTTCCACGAAGCCGTCCTTGACCTGCGTGATGTGCACGAGGCCGCTCGCAGTGGCGGCGCTGTCTGGGGCCTTTACTTCCACAAAAGCACCGAAGGAAACGATGCTGGCAACCGTGCCCTTGATCCAGGTGGCCGGATCGATCCCCTCGAAGGGGGTAAGATCAACGGGCTCCCTTTCCGCTCGGGGGGCGCCGCCGGCGCCGTCTCTCATGCTTAAGCTCATCTTGTTGGTCTCGGTGTCACAGCCGATGAGCTTCACCCTGACCTCCTTGCCGACCTCGACAAAGTCGTTGATGTTCTCCACGAAGGTGTCTGCTATCTGAGACACGTGGACAAGGCCCTGCCCCTCTTCGCCGCTGTCCAGAGTGATCTTGACGAACGCACCGAACGGGGCGACGTTGACGACCTGGCCGTCAAACCACTCCTCGACCTTGTCTGCGAACGGGGTGACGTCGGTGACGGTACGTCCCCCTCGACCTCCATCGGTCCTGCCCTCGATCATGGTCACGCCGAACTTGCCGTCGTCGCGCAGACCGCTGATCCAGACTTCGACCTCTTGGTCCTCCTCGAGCTCCGCGTAGATGTCCTCGATCCTCTCCGTCGAGATGGCAGAGATGTGCAACAACCCGTCGCCCTCCGCACCGATGTCGACGAACGCGCCGAAATCCCGGACGCTCCTCACGCTGCCTGTGTACTTCTGGCCAACCTCGAGGTTGTCGAAAGGGATGGGCGGGATCTTCATGTCCTTGCCGGGGGAGTCAACAACCCACCTGACCGATCCGCGCCAGGCCTATACAGGGCCTAGGATCGATGTATACGCCTCCCTCCGTGGCCAAACCAAGAGGGCGTGTGCATCAATTCTGGGACCAGAAAGATTGGCCTTGCCCGCGTCGGAGAGGTGGATGGACAGTTGACATCCCCCGATCCTTGGGGCTCACCGGAGAATCCTCTGGCCCTCCGTCGGGGTCCTCCCACTTCACCTGGAACGTGCCGTCGGCATTGCCCTTGATTACCGTGCCCTCGTACATCATGCCGTCCTCGGGGAACCTGGCAAGCACCGCGTCGCCCTCCTTGTAATCCCGCTTGACCTTGACCCTCTTCATGCTCTCCCAATGGAGGTCGGCAGTCTCGGGGCCCCCGTCCGGGTCGTCCCACTTGACGCGGAACTTGTCCTCTGCCAACACCTCCGCCACCACACCAGGATACCAGCGCTCGTCGTCTGGAGACAGGCCCCGGCAGTCGTCGCCCACCCCGTACTCCTTTTGCGGGGGGGACGGGGGACGAATCGGTGCGTTAAACCGGCGCGTAACTCTGGGGGTGCGTAACCAATTCGCCATTCTGGACAAGTTTGGGGGGCTGCGCGCTCGAGGGCAACCGTTCGCGCCAACTCGCAAGCCACATCCCCATCCATGAACCCGACGAACGCACCAACTCATTTCATGCACATGCTGACCCCACCAGGTCGGGCGTGTCGCCCTACAGGCGGATTTTGAACGAAAAATTAAAAATAGCACAAAAAGGTCAAACGGTCATCAAAAATAATCGGAACATCGTCTCCCAACTATTTTTGGATACTCCTCCCGTAGAGGAACAGGCCCGACTTGAATGTAGATGTCTCGAAATCTCTTTTTTTCCAGCGCAGTTCTGGAGGGAGGAAAAGCAGCCGACACCGCCATGCCACAGCCGCGCCGAGAAGCATGCCTGCTGCGAGCACTGCCTGCCAGACAGATGCGACCATCACGACACAAACTGGCCCAGCCAAACTGCTTAACATTTCGGGCGTTGGCAGAACTGGGGGACGCTCCCCCCCGCCCCCCGAAAAAAGACCAGCTATTCTGGTTTAGTGATTCTGGCCAATTCAATGGCTCCGGGGCCCTACCACTAACCGGGTTCCCTTACCTGGGGTTGTGGCTATTCCCGAACGTGGTCGCGGTGGAAGAGGAAAAGGAAGACACTCCGAGCGTCTGCACGTTGGCACAGGCGCCTGTCAAGAGGGGGGAGAGCAAGAGGGGGGACATCTTCTCCAAGTCCTTGTAGAATATCATCTTCTTGATGAGATCCTCCGGGAGCGTGTCCGTCTCCGGCCCCCCGTCCGGGTCGTCCCAGGCGACCACCCAGTCGCTGCCAGAGGCCGCCTTGAGCCGGCCGGGATACCACCCCTCGTCGTCAGGGGACTGCGCCTTCACCTGGAAAAAGAAAATCAGCCTACAGTAGGGGCTCGACCACAGGAAACCTTCCACAAGAGACCCAACCCGGAGACCCCAGGACGTCTCTTGATTTCGAATGCGGGAACGTCGCGCCCTCCACGGCACAGCCGTCGAAACGCAAAAAACCCAGGGCACCCTGGAGGCAAGCAAGGTGTTTCTTGGCATGGGCCTCCACTGTACGGCGGGTTCGTGTCGTGACGACCCCGGCACAGCCGTCGAAACCCAAGAAACCCAGGGCACCCTGGAGGCAAGCAGGGTGTTTCTTGGCATGGGCTTCCACTGTAAAACTGGAAGCCTCCTGGAGACTCACAACAGGGGACCTCTTCATCGACGGGTCTGCCACTGGCGCTGTCCCCCCCCCCCCTCCTCCTCCTCCTCCTCCTCCTCCTCCTCCTCCTCCTCCTCCTCCTCTTCTTCCTCCTCCTCCTCCTCCTCCTCGTCCTCCTCCTCCTCCTCCTCCTCCTCCTCCTCCTCCTCCTCCACTGTACGGTGGGTTCGTGTCGTGACGACCCCGGCCTTGGCCTCTGGCACCGGGCGGGTGGCTCACCCTGCAGCAACTGCGGCGCTCCCGAGAGGCGCGGGGCCGCGCGAGACGTCGACCGTTTGTGGGCCACCGGCGGCGGTCAGCCTTGCATCGGGGAGCAGCAAGTGGCATACACACAAAAACTCTCGGACCTCCGAGTTTCTATGCTTATGCCACTTTCTGCTCCCCTATGGAAGGCCCGCGGCGGGGCCGCCGCGGCGTCGGCACGACACGAGCCCGCCGCAGGCACACGAGCTCTCGGAGGCCCGCGCGGAGCTCTGGCGCCCGCGCTGGCCAGGGAGGGGGGGGGTCCAGCGCAGACCCAGGAGATCCGCGCCGAGCTCCAAGAGCACACGGTCAGGAACTTGTGCCCAGCGGTAGCTCGGGCGTGTCCCCCTGTGCAGGCGGACTCTGGACGAAACGTAAAACGTAGCCAAAAAACTAACATTCAACAAGTGTCAAACACAGTCGAAAAATAGTCCCCGTTTTGTTTTTTGGGTAATTATTTTTGCACGTTCCTCCTGTAGAGTGACAGGCCCGACTGAAACTCAGCGTGTCGCGGCGGCGGCGGCGGCCCCGGCGACTCGCCATGCCGTGCAGGCTGACAGCGTGCCCGTCTCCTTTGGAGTCCCGAAACGGTGCGGTGACAGACCGTGCGGTGACCTCGAAACCCCCGAAGACCTCACCGCACGGTCCGTCACCGCACGGTCTTGGGACCCTGGAGGCCCCTGTCGCCCGAGACGTCCTCAGAGAACGACCCGAGTCCCAAAACCGTGCTGTGAGCCCGAATCCCCACCGACTCACCGCACGGTGTGGTCACCACCTCGTTTGGGGACCCTCGAGTCTCCGCTCTGCGGGGCGGGAGGCCCGGAGAAAGGACCGGCACGCAACGCCTGGGGACCGCGGAGTGACGCGCGCGTCGCCCCGACGGCGGCGCGACACTGACTGCCTACCAGACCACCCCAACCCAACCCGAAGACCCCCATTTGACCCGAATTTCGGGTTGGGGGGGGTACGGGTCCCATATGTTTTTTCAATGTTCCCCGACCCCCCCCCCACTGGAAATGGAGGGCAAATTGAAGCCTTCGGGTTGGGTTGGGGTGGTTAGGTGGGTGGTCAGACACGCTGAGCCAAAACGCCTGAGCGTATACCGCTTCGTTTGGCGGCGCGCATGGGGGGGGGGGAACGGCGGGACCGAGGGCGGCTTCTCGGAAGGAGGCTGCTCCTCAGAAGGGGCGCCGGCCCCACGTCTGCGGGCGAGGCCCGCGCCTTCCGAGAAGCAGGGGTGCGTCTGAGCGCCCCCCCCCCCCCCCCCCCCCCCCCTCTGCGCGTGCCCGCTCCCTCTCCCTGGACCACCTTGCACCCGACCTCCAGGGTCATGTCTGGGCGTGCGGCCCTGGCAACCAGCGGGCGGGCACCGCGCGCCCTGCCGAGCGTGGCGGCCCTCGGGCCACTGCGCACCTGCGGGCTCGGGCCCCTGGCCGCGGGCAGGAAGCCGAGGGGGCCCTCCACCACCTTGCACGCGGCGGCCAGCGCGAGGGCGGCCGCGAGGCAGGAGCCTCTGCTCCGCCGGCTGGTCACCGCCAGAGCCATCTCTTCCAAACGAGCTGCGGGGCTGGAACGGGCTCCCCCGGCTGACGCTCCGGTGGCTTGGCGCAAGATCGATTGGAACCGCCTGAGCGGCCTTGAGCCAAAATGGCTACGGATGGTTTGCATTACATTTATATATATGTATATACATACATATATATATATATATATATATATATATATATATATTATGTATACGTATATGTATATGTATATACATAAAGCATTTTGGCCACGTAGAGGGTCCCTATAGGAAGGCTCGAAGGGCGCTTGGAACCGTCGCGTTCGAGGAGCAAAGGCACCGGCGTCGACAGAACCTTTCGGAGGCCCGCGCCAGCTTCTCGGATCGGCGCTGGACCCCTCGCCCTGGCGCGCGGGGCGCGCCAGTGGCGGCGCAGGCGGCGCCGCCAGGGGCCCCCCCGGCGCCGATCCGCCGCGCCGCGCGGACCTTCGCAAGTTTCTGCTCGCACCATTCTTTTGGCGGCGAGCGAAGGGGGGGAAGTGAGAAGGAGAAGGCCTTCCCAGAGAGCGGCAGGGCTTCTCAGAAACACTCGCGCCTACTGAGAGGTTTCTTTGTGTCTCCGGGGAAGGCCAAGAGAAAACTTCTCGGAAGGCCAGGGGACTCCTGAGCCTTCTGAGCAGGCCCCTTCCTCCTCACTTCCTCCCCTCGCTCGCCGCCGAACTATTCGATCGAGGCATGGCGCAAGCTCGATTGGAACCACCCCAGCGGCCCTAGACCCCGAGGTCATGATTTTTTCATTACGTCGACCCCGTGAGGTCCCGACCCTTTCCCCACGACCGGCTTTGCATCCTGAGTCGTTTTTGGGGAATCCCGAGGCCCGGTGAGGGCCCCTGGAGGCCGAAAAGTGCGAAAAACCTCCCGTCATGATTTGTTCATTGCCCGAGGGGGTCTGCGTCAGCGGCCTGGGCCAGAGTGAGCACGGGCGCGGCGCCGAAGAGGCACGGCGCCGGACACGCGCCGCGACCCCGCCGTTCTCCCGCCCCTGCCCGGGGGCCGAGGGGCAGCCCGGCGGCGAGCGGCGCCCTTGGCGGCGGTCGGGAGGGCCTCGGAGCTCGGCTGGGAACGGGAGGCGCGTGTCCAGAGGCCTCCCACATGTCGTGTGTTGCTAGAGGTGCTCCTGGCCCGAGGTGCCCCCAGTTTTTCGCTCCATCTGGGAGCCCCTGGGGCCCTCTAGGCCTCGCGAGGGGTGCCCTGGAGGCCGTCTGGGGCACCCCGAGAATCCTCGGGGTACCTTGGGCCAGGGGTACTTCTAGCAACACACGAAAATGTGGTCTGAGCATACGGGGTCGGAGGATCGCGCCGCGTCGCCGATGCATCGACGACGTCGGCGTTGCCTTCGCTGACAAAGTCGGGCTCCGCATCGAGGTGCGTCACCGATGCTTCGGCGATGCGGCGCGGTCCTACGGCCCCATCTACTGGAACCCCATCGGGAAGGCCTAGAATGTCGTGGCGACCCCAGCGTTGGCTTCTGATACCGCGTGGATCGTTCAACCTCTACTTTTTTTCCCCCCCGCCGCAAACACCCGCCAGTTTCAGCCCCTGCTCCGACACTGTATGAAATCCGCTTCCCCTCAAGGGGGCGATCACCACTCCATACGAAATGCGGGCACAAACAGCCACTCCAAACGAAATGCGAATCGGTGGCAGGTCCGCCAGATCGTGCCATGCTGGGCGATTCCGGGCCTCTGGGGGCCTTCGACCTCGAGCGCCCGCGGCGAGGTAGGTCGCTGCTGCGTCGGCACGAGACGATCCTGCCGTACCCAGGCCCCCGACGTCATGGTTTTGCCAGGACGTCGATCCCTAAAGATCTCGACCCATTCCCCGGGACCGGGTTTTCATCCTGAGTCGGCCTTTGACGGTCCCGAGGCCCGGGAAGGGCCCCCGGAGGCCGAAAATGAAAGGAAAACCTCCCGTCCTGATTTTTTCACTGCTCGAGGGGCCCTGGGCACGGGAGGGGGAGGAGGGCGAGAAGCAGGCGGCAACAGAAGCGAGACCGCGCCAGCGGCGGCAGCGTGCCGCGGCCGCGGCCCGGCAGTCGCGGGGCACCTTCTGGAGGCGGTCCATGGCGGCAGTGGAGAGCCCCTGAGCGGCAGCCGGGGGCTCCTGGGTTCAGAGGCGGGCGAGGGGGAGGGTCAGGCGGAACATGGGGCTGCCGCGAAGAGGGAGGGGGGGGCCCCTGTGCAGCGGATGGGGGCTGCTGGGAAGAAGCCAAGGAAGGATTCTGTGTGTTCCCAGCCATCCTTTGGTGCTGGGTCCTCGTTTTGCAGAGACAATCTCCGCGTCCCCCCCTCTCCTCTCCTCTCCTCCTCCTCCTCCCCCTCCTCCCTCCTCCCGTTATCCCCTCTCACTTTGGCACATCCCTCACACGTTTCGTAGCCCCCTGGGAAGCTCCATTGCAAGCCCCAGTGGCATGCTTCGCATGCCGCCCACCCCTCCACTCGGACACCCCTCACACGCTTCGTGGCCTCATAGGGAGCTCCACCGAAGGCCCCAGTGGCCGTGTCCACATGCGTTTCTCCCACCAAGTACAGCGCTTCATGGCCCCATGGGGAGCTCCACCGAAGGCCCCATTGGCGTTGTCCGCATGCGTTGCCCCGACCAGTGTCCGCATGCGTTTCCCCTACCCAGTAAGGCGTTTCGTGGCCCCATAGGGAGCTCCACGTAAGGTCCCAGTGGCGGTGTCCGCGGCGTTTCGTGGCCCCATAAGGAGTTCCACCGAAGGCCCCAGTGGCGGTGTCCGCATGCGTTTCCCCCACACGCAGAAAAAAACGCTTCGTGGCCCCATAGGGAGCTCCACCGAAGGTCCCAGTGGCGGTGTCCGCATGCGTTTCCCCCACCTAGAAATAAGTTTCGTGGCCCCTTTGGGAGCTCCACCGAAAGTCCCAGTGGCGGTGTCCGCCTGGTGGCCCCGCTCCATTTCAGCAAACCCATCACACGCTTCGTGGTTCCATGTGGTGCGTCCCCGCCGCATTTCGGCACACCCATGTAAACGCTTCGCGGCCCCACAAAGAGATCCACCGACGGCGATACCCACAACGGCGAGACTCACACCTGCATTTGGTCGGGAATGCGTCTTCTGGAAAAGAAGAATTCGCCAGGAAGGGAGGGGGAGCCGGGGAGTGTGCCAGGGAGGGGAGGAGGGACTGGCGGGCGAGAAGCGGGGGGCCAGGACCGACATGGGGCAGGGGCGAGCATCAACAAGGGAGTTGGAGGCAAGCAGGCGTGGGGGGGGGGTGCGTTCCCTCTGTGGGTCGGCAGCCTGCATTCGAGAAAAGTGGGGCCCTGGGACACACAAATTCGCCGGCCCAGCGGGCCAGAGGCGTGCTAAGATCTCCGGTAACTACTTAACAATATTTCTAATTCGCGCGCGGGGCGGCCCATGGGGCCCCCCGGACTTTCGAAAAGTACCCCGGCTGACCCCCGGTCGGGTCCCGGGCGATCCCCAGGGGGGAGGCTATTTTTCGCCACCCCAAGGGGCCCCCAAGAGCCCCCTAAGAGGCCCCAGGGGAGCCCAAGACGCCACCGAGGAGCCCCAAGACGCTCCCAAGAAGCCCCCAAGAGGCCCACAAAACGGCCCCAAGAGACTCCAAATAGCGCTCCAGGCTGGCGGAATGAGCGAAGCGATTAAATAAGTACACGCACAAATAACATGATTCACGATATTTCTTATATTACTTGGATTTTCGTCACCCCCCCACACGTCCCATATTTTCCTATTTTTTCCGGGGGATCGACGCTTAATTGTGTCTGTGTGCTTTCTCCCTCCTGAAGGAGGGGCTCCCCTCATTCTCCTCCTCCTCTCCATCCTCCTCCTCCTCCTCCTCCTCCTCCTCCTCCTCTTCCTCCTCCTCCTCTTCCTCCTCCTCCTCCTCCTCCTCCTCCTCCTCCTCCTCCCCTTCGTCCTCCCTCCTCCTCCTCCTCCTCCTCCTCCCTCCTCCTCCCCTCCTCCTCCTCCTCCTCCTCCTCCTCCTCCTCCTCCTCCTCCTCCTCCTCCTCCTCTTCCTCCTCCTCCTCTTCCTCCCGGCGGAAAGACCCGCGGGCGCCAGAGTTGCCCCCCCCCCCCCCCCCCCCCCTTCGCCAAGGGGGACCGTGGGGACACAGTGGGGGGCTTTGAAAAAACCGGCGTGAATTACACTTAGGGCGGGGACTACAAAGCCGACACGACACTAGAGGAGGAGGAGGAGGAGGAGGAGGAGAAGGAGGAGGAAGGGGAAGGGCGGGGGGGGAGGGGGACGGGGGACGGGGGGCGGTGATGGGCGTGGGGGTCGTGCAGGGTGGTCGTATCATGGCGGCCCTGGCGATGGCCGGGCTGGTGGTAGTAGTGCTGGAGGCGGCTGGGCTGCGGTGGCTGCGTCGTTCGTTCGCCGTGCTGGGGGCGGCCACGGTGGTCGTGGCGGTGGCCGCAAGAGCCGCGGTGGTGGCTACGGCAGTTGGTGGCGGCTGTCGTCGCCAAGGTTGCCGCATTGGTCGGTGCGGCCGCTGGTGGTGGCCGCGGTAGCGGTGGTCCTTGTCCAGGCGCCTGTCCGAACAGCACCTTGGGCAGCGCAGGGTTGGTGCCCAGGTAGCTGCCGGCCTAGCGTCCGAGTGCATTCAGCAGCATCTCGGCGTTGCCGGTCTGCAGGCGTCTGCTGATTTGCCTCCACAGCGTTCCGAGGACCACGGCCCGGTCAGCGTCGTCGAGCCCGTGGCAGAACGACCGGATGAACTCGACGGCCGTGTCGGATGGGCGGCCGCCCGACTCGAACGCTAAGGGCGCCAACTTCCCGTGCTGCGGAGGGTAGCGCTCGCGCTTCTCGTGGACCGTCTGCGCCGCCGCGACCCCGTCTCTGTTGGAACGAGCGCGCCTGCGAGGGCCGTAGGTGCTGTATTCGCAGGTAAAGCTCCAATCCACATACACAGGCTGACCTGTGCTTGGGTCTCGTGTACAAACGTCCAGCTTCGCCTCCTCCGTGACGCCCGTCTGCGGGTCCATCCTGTCCCAACCAGGAACCCGCTGCTCCTTGACCGCGTAGTAGCCCGTGAGGTGTGTGTGCGTGGGGGCGTGCCAGTCCCTCCTGCTGTCGTGGCGGCCTGCGCGAGACCCCCCCGCAGGGCAGCTGCAGGCGTGCCACCCGCGCGCGTCCAAGGGCTCGTTGCACGGCAGCCCTGTGTCGGCGTATTTGTGCTGGCAGCGAGCACCGGGCGGGCACGCCGGCACCCGCAAGCGCTTCTTGTACGCCGCAAGGAAATGCTTATCTGGCATGGACTGGTCACCCTCCTCACGGGGGAGCAGGAATCCCCCGGCGCCTGGGTCTCCTGTTCCGCGGAGTTGGAGTCGGTCGTCCTCTCCCAACGTTCCTAGCAAGCGTTCCCTCCCAGCCGAGGACCTCGCTTTGCCCCACTGCCCCTGCAGCTTCAGTTGCGCTTCCTGGAAAGTGTCCAGCCACTCGGACGGGTCGTCCCCCATAGCTCCCTGCGTTCGCAGCGCCGCCTCCGCCTCCCGCAACGATTGGAACGTCAAGGGGCAGCGGGCCCGAAAGTCTTCCCAAGTAGCGAACCCAGCGCCGCGGGCCACGTCCTGCACGACGAGCGCCCAGCTCGCAGCGTACGCGGCCGGCGCTGTTTCCTTGGCCGAAGGGAGGGCACACCCCCCGTCGACCAGCCGCAGGGTGGCCTGCAGTCTTTGCGTGTCGTCCAGAGGGGCCTGCAGGAGGTCTTCGAGGCATCCGAACACCCATCGAAAGTGTCAGTCCACGCTGAGTTGTAGTTGTACGCGGCGCGAAGGTGGTGAGCCACTGCGCCCTGGGCGAAGGTGCGGAGGAGGACCGAAGCTCCCTCCGCGGAAAGTCCGGCCCCCCGACGCTCTTGCAGGCGGGCACGAGAAGCGGTGGCCCTGGCCACGGCGGCCGCTCCGTCGGCGCCAGCGTGAACCCGGACCCTCTCGTCTTCTTGATCCAGCCATGTCGCTACATTCCCCAGGACACATGAGGGTGTCAACCCGGGCCTGCTGCGCCGTCGGGGGTAAGGCTTGCGCCGGGTCCTTCGTCCAGGCGTTGGTCTTGCTCTGGTTCACCTCGAGCCCGGCGTTCGTGAGCGCCGCGAGGACTATCTGGATGGCGGCGTCTGCGTGTTCTGGCGGCCCAAACACCATGATGTCGTCAAGATAGGAGAAAACGCGGCACTCGGGGGACAGCCGCTGGAGCGCTACCGCGACATCGCCAAGTGCGTTCGCCAGGGCAATAGCGAATAGCCCCGGTGACAGAGGGCATCCCTGGTCCACCCCGCGCGTGGCTCGTATAGGGAGGGCTGCGTCAGCGTCGCTCCAGAGCAAGTGTGTGGTAGCAGTCGTTCCGAGCCACGCCTGCGCGGTGTGGTACAGCTCAGGCGCTCTGGCAGCAACCCCGTCCATGACCCGTCTTCGCGGCATCGAGTTGAAGGCGTTGCTGGCATCGAAGCTAAGCACGACACTGGTCGGGCTGGCTTCGGTGAGCGCACCCATGGCCTTGTGGACCAGTTCGCAGCCCGCCCGCCTGCCGACGGCGTATTGGTGAGCACCGCACGCATTCCGGATCTCGTCCTTGAACACCTCGCAGGCAGCCTTGCCCGCCAGCCGACGGATGACCCCGCCGCAAGCGATGGGCCGCAGACCCCCAGCAGGCTTGCGCAGCGCCACCAGTCGGGTTCCCAGGTTGGCCTCCATGGCCTGGGGCGACAGCACGCCGTAGAGGAACAAGACAACCACTTGGGCCACAGCAGTAGTAGCTTCAGAATCGCTGAGGACCTTGCGCCAGTGCTCCTCCTCATCATCCTCCTCCTCCTCCTCCTCCTCCTCTTCCTCCTCCTCCTCCTCCTCCTCCTCCTCCTCCTCCTCCTCCTCCTCCTCCTCCTCCTCCTCCCCCTCCCCTTAGGAAGGGCTCCCCTCCAGGCCTCGACGTGCCGGACAGCGGGGCGTGGCGCGCCGGCGCCGAGGCCACCGCTCGCGAGCGCCAGCGCCGGATTTCGCCGCCGGCAGCGTCGACGTCCCCTGAGATCCCCAGACCCGCTCGAGCAATGAAGAAATCGTGACGGGAGGTCTTTCCCAATTTTCGGCCTCCGGGGGCCCTCACGCGTCAAAAAACGACTCGGGACGAGAAGCCGGCCATGGGGAAAGGGTTGGGACCTCTGGGGGTCGAGGTCATGAAAAATCATTATGTCGGGGGTCTGGGTCCGAGGCGACGAGCAAAACTGCAACATCGCAGAAGTCACAACCGGAGCCCTGGGCCACATCTTCCGACTGCCTTTTTTTTCGAGCGGGATCGAACCAGGAGGGCCTGGGGTGCCCGAGCCGTCGTCACCGTCGTCAGCGTCGCCGTCGCCGTCGCCGTCGCCGTTGTCGTCGCCGTCGCCGTCGCCGTCGCCGTCGCCGTCGCCGCTGTCGCCGCCGTCGTCGCCGCCGTCGTCGTCGTCGTCGTTGTCGTCGTCGTCGTCGTCGTCGTCGTCGTCGTCGTCGTCGTCGTCGGGGGAGCAGTCCTCCGCCTCCAGGGCGGCCCGCGGTGTGGCGGGGCCAAGGGGCTCCAGGCGCTCGCGGGACTCGTCCCGGCGGCGGAACTCCCTGCGGACCTGGGGAGGCCGGCGTCCCGAGGGCCCCTCGCAGGGCTGCCCGCCTCTGGTGCTGTTCTCGTTGTTGATGGGCATGTTTTCCACCACCACCACCACCACCATAAGTTGGAGGCGGAGGGGGTCCTCCTCCTCCTCCTCCTCCTCCTCCTCCTCCTCCTTCCCCTCCTCCTCCTGCTTCCCCCCTCCAACTTATGGTGGTGGCGGTGGTGGGAGACAGGCCCATCAATTGTCCCCCCTTCTCTCTTCGTTCCGCCTTTGCCGCCAGACGGGGTCAAAACGAGCACGGTCCGCTGACACCGCCCAAGCACCGTTCAGGCCGAGCCCTGGCCTCTCGCGGCCGCTCCATCGGGCCTTCCTCACCCCCAGGCCCAGACCTCCCTCCCTCCCTCCCGACGGCGACGACGACGAGGAGGAAAGGGGGGGAAAGGATGGGGGGTCAAGAGGAGGAGGAGGAGGAGGAGGAGGAGGAGGAGGAGGAGGGGGAGGAGGAGGCAGAGGAGGAGGAGGAGGCTTGCACGAGTAGCCCCCTCGTAACCACTTGCACGACCTCCGCAACCGTAGCCCTGGGGGCAGCCTTGCTCCTGGGGCGTCCCCTTGCAACTGAGCCCAGACCCTTCGTCGCCCATCCCCAGACCTCCTCGCGTCGAGCAAGACTCACGGCGGCTCTTCTGTTGGCCATTCTCGGCTTCAGGGGCCTTCAGCGAGCCTTGGGACTGGCGACGAAACAACTCGGGAAGGGGTCCAGACCTCTGGGGAGCTGCAGACCCGGGATGGGTCGGCCTCCTGGGACTGTCTCGTCAGCGTCGTCGTCGTCGTCGTCATTGTCGTTAGCGTCGACGGCGTCGTCGTCGTCGGCGCCGCGGGGCCGCCCTTGTCGTCGTCAGCGTCGACATCGTCGTCGTTGTCGTCAACTTCGACGTCGTCGTCACCGTCGTCGGCGCCGTCGTCGATGTCAGCGTCAACGTCGTCGGCGCCGACATCTTCAGCGCCGTCATCGTCAATTACGACGTCGTCGTCGTCGTCAGCGTCGCCGTTCTTGGCGTCGACGTCGTCAGTTTGGCCGCCGTCGTCGCCGCCGCCGTCGTCGTCGTCGTCGTCGTCGTCGTCGTCGTCGTCATCCTTGTCGTCGTCGTCTTCTTCGTCGTCGTCGTCGTCGTCAGCGTCAGCGTGAGCGTCAGCGTCAGCGTCGTCGCCGTTGTCGCCGTCGAACTCCCTGAGACTCTGGAGCAGTCGGCATCCCCGGGGCTGTCTCGCGGTCTCCCCGTCGAGGCCCCCGCTCCCCCCACTAGTATTTGGTCGGGCGTGTCCCCCTACAGGGGGAGCTTGGGCGAAAAAAAACAAATACAACAAATACTCAAAACATACCCCCCAAGTGCTCAAAAATAGTAAAAAAAAATGTCCCCAGACTATGTTTTGACTATTTTTGAATATCCCTCCTGTAGAGGGACACGCCCGTGAATATTTCTCCAGTAGAAGGGGGACACGCCCGACTTAACACTAGTAAGAACTTACACCCGGTGCTCGAGGGGGGAAGCATCTTGGCCGGCCTGGGGAAGTTTGTGGACGTCTCCCCTCCACTGGCGGCGCTTGGGCTTCAGGGGACCAGTGGGGATCCCTGGGGCCTCGGTGGGTCAGGAGCCAGAACGGAAGCAGAACTTACCATCCCCCCACTTCATTCCTCCCTCCTCCCTGACCTCCGGTTCCCCCTCCTGCCCGCATTCCGTTGCTCCTCGTTCCTCCCACGCTCGGGCACTTTTGCTCAGCGTGTCGGTGCGGCGGCCCCAGCGACACGCTATGCCGTGCGAGCTGATCGCGTGTCGTTCCGCTGAGCGGGGTGATGATGACGATCATCATCATCATCATCATCATCATCATCATCATCATCATCATCATCATCATCATCATCATCATCATCATCATCATCATCATCATCATCATCATCATCATCATCATAATCACCATCAGCAGCATCAGCAGCATCACCAGCATCAGCATCAGCATCAGCATCATCACCATCACCATCACCATCACCATCACCATCATCATCATCAGCATCAGCATCAGCATCAGCATCAGCACCATCACCAGCACCAGCACCATCACCATCACCATCACCATCACCATCACCATCATCATCATCAGCAGCATCAGCATCAGCATCGTCACCATCACCATCACCATCATCATCACCATCACCATCATCATCAGCATCAGCATCAGCATCAGCATCAGCACCATCACCATCACCATCACCATCAGCATCACCATCATCATCATCATCATCATCAGCATCAGCATCAGCATCAGCATCATCATCAGCATCATCACCATCACCACCACCTTCACCATCACCATAATCAGCATCATCATCATCACCATCACCATCACCATCAGCATCATCACCATCACCATCACCATCACCATCATCATCAGCATCAGCATCAGCATCAGCATCAGCATCATCACCATCACCATCATCATCACCATCACCATCACCACCATCATCAGCAGCATCAGCATCAGCATCAGCATCAGCATCAGCACCATCACCATCACCATCACCATCACCGTCACCATCACCATCACCGTCACCATCACCATCACCACCATCATGATCATCATCATCATCATCATCAGCATCAGCATCATCATCATCATCATCATCAGCATCAGCATCAGCGTCAGCGTCAGCGTCAGCATCAGCATCAGCATCAGCATCATCATCATCATCATCATCATCATCATCATCATCGTGGAAGAGCTCGGGGCGCTGATGCCTGGGGACGCGGGCGTGGACGGCGTGTCGCACCGAATTGCAACAGGCTGAGCCAAAGCTCACGACTTGACCTTTCCTCTCCCTCGCCCTCCTCCCTCTCCCTCCTCCCTCCTCCCTCCTCCCTCCTCCCTCCTCTCTCCTCCCTTCTCCTCCTCCTCCTCCGTCCTCCTCCTCCGCCTCCACCTCTCGGCATCCCTCCTCCTCCCTCCTCCTCCTCCCTCCTCCTCCCCCTCACCTCCTCCCGCCCTCCTCCTCCTCTCCTCCTCCCCTCCTCCTCCCTCCTCCTCCTCCTACCTCCGCCTCCTCCCTCCTCCTCCTCCTCTTCCTCGTCCTCCTCCTCCTCCTCCTCCCCTCCTCCTACCTCCTCCCTCCTCCCCTCCCTCCACCCTCCTCCTCCTCCCTCCAATCCTCCCTCCTCTCCCCTCCCTCCCTCCTCCCCTCCCCTCCCATCCTCCCTCCGCCCTCCTCCTCCTCCTCCTCCTCCTCCTCCTCCCTCCTCCTCCCTCCTCCTCCTTACCCCTGTCCTCCTCCATCATCCCTCCTCCTCCTCCTCCTCCTCCTCCTCCTCTTCCTCCTCCTCCTTCTCTCCTCTTCGTCTCCATGCTACTTTCGCTCTTCCGAGCGCAGCATGCCGGCCGCCTCCCGCGGGCCGCGGGCGCTCCCCTGCAGACTGGGAGAAGCTCCGTGCACACATGTATATTTACACATGAAGATATGTGCCTATGTAGATACAGGGCAGTTTTCTGAATACACCAGATTTTTAAACATACATGAATTTAATACATGATTAATGTATGCATGAATTTATGCATGAACTCATCGTTGGTTTTAATGCTAAATCACTGCAGGTTTAATTCATGCTCCGCACGCGGAGCATGTATTAAAAGCGGCACTGTAGATATTGAGAAGATATAAATGTATACATATACGTGTCCATCGATATATATATATATATATACACAATGTGTGTGTCTATGACCGCCGACGGTCTGTCAGCGACTCCGTCATAGGCAAACATGACAGGGCGGCCGCTGGACGCCCGCTGGGGGCCCGCACGCTTGAGCCAGGCCCCCTCTCTCTCGTAGGGTCTCCTGCGGAGCGCTCGACCTTCTGGGTTCCTGCCCCCTCTCTCGTGGGGTCTCCTGCGGAGCGCTCGACCTTCTGGGTTCCTGCCCCCTCAGTCGTAGAGTCTCCTGCGGAGCGCTCGACTTTCTGGGTTCCTGCCCCCTCAGTCGTACTAGGGTCTCCTGCAGAGCGCTCGGCCTTCTGGGCTCCTGCCCCCTCAGTCCTAGGGTCTCCTGCGGAGCGCTCGGCTTTCGGGGTTCCGGTCCGTTTTGTTGCTTCTCTGAGCCTGATGTCCACGCTGCGACCAGAGCTTCTCAAGGTCGGCGCGTCTGCTGGCACAAGGTCCAGCTTAGGCCCCTCGCCGCCGCCGGGAGAGTCTCTCGAGGCCGGCGCCGGGGTTGAGGTCGCCGTAGGCGATGCCGGTCTCCAGGGCCGGCAGCGCCACGCGCGCGGAACCATGGTTCGTTAACACCGTCTCGAGGAGCTCCGCTCGGGCGCGCTCGGGGGGATCAGGACCCTCGGGCGTCTCGGAGAATCCGCCCAGCAAGATGCGCCGGGCCAGCACGAACCACTGGATCCGCTTCGTCTCGGACAGCTCTGGCCTCCATTCGGCCGCGAGGCCCCCTTTTGGATTCACCTTAAAGCTGCCCCTTCTGTGCATTTCCATGAGAGCTGGTCTTCAGCAGCCGCCCGTCCTGTCTGTACTCTGCCCGCGCTTTTTGCATGCTGTCCGTTGCCACGGATCCATTCCCAATCCGCCGCAGTGTGCCCAACTATTTCAAAACGCCCATTGACCACGCAACTTGACCAAGCTAGCTAGCAGACGCATAGAGAAGGAGCGCGCGCGCGCAAGCGCACCACCTCGCCCATGCATGCGCGCGAGGGCGCGTCGCGACGGCAGCAATATGGCTCCGTAGCGCCGATTGCCCCTTCTTGCAAGGCCCACCCCGATCCTTCACCCTAATGGTTGTCCTCATCCTTTTCCTCATCCTCCTCTCCCCCCTCCATCATTAGGGGAACAAGAAGTCGCATAAACATAAAAACTCGGAGGTCCGCGCGGATTTCTCGGATCGGCACTGGGGCCCCCCTGGCGGCGCCTCCGGCGACGCCCCTGGCGCGCTCCGCGCGCCAGGGAGGGGGGAGCGCGCGCCAGAGGCGCCAGAGGCGGCGCCGGAGGCGCCGCCGGAGGGGCCCCAGCGCCGATCCGAGAAATCCGCGCGGACCTCCGGGTTTTTATGTTCATGTTACTTTTCGTTCCCCTGATGATGGATGGGGGGAGAGGAGGACGAGGAAAAGGATGAGGACGGCCATTAGGGCGAAGGATCGGGGTGGGCCTCCATAATGTCTCCTCCCCTCCGACGTTGCAAAAGGTTTTGTGACGTGGGCCCTGGGGGCTTCGACTCCTCCCCGGGGCCAGCTTCTCGAGCCGATCTGCTTTTCGCAGTTCCCGGGGCCGGGCGACGAGCTCCGGTGGCCGAGCGCGTGGAGGAGCTGGCCGCCACGTTTATGTTGGCGATGCACGAACGCGCAGGTCCTCGTCCTCGCCCCCGCCTCTCTGAGATGGATGTTTTCTCAAGCGCTAGGCCTGGTTCTGCCGCCTTGAAACCTGCCGCCCCTGCCGGGCCTGAAAGCTGATGGGAAAGGCCGTGGAGAAGGGGGGGTGCAAGCTGCTCCCTGCCTGCTGCTACCCTCCCTCGGCGCTGTACTCAAGCCGGCCTGAGAGAGCTGCGTGTTTTTGAAGCCTCCCCCTTGCCTCGGCCCCGTCCGCGCAGAAAAGACCCACGGTGGCGCCCGCCGTCAGCGAATCTCCCAGATGGGCCTGTTTTCCACCACCACCATATGTTGGAGGGGAGGATGAGGAGGAGGATGAGGAGGAGGAGGAGGCGGAGGAGGAGGAGGAGGCGGAGGAGGAGCAGGGAGGAGGAGGAGGAGGACCCCCTCCCCCTCCTACTTGTGGTGGCGGCGGGGGAAAACAAGACCACCACTCCCAGAAGCACCCTCTCGCCCCTCAGAGGCGGGCCCGTGGGAGGATGGGGGTCGCGCGCACCAGAGTCCGAGACGGGTGCGCGGACGATGAGGGGAGGGGGCCAGAGGACACGTCGGGATAAGAAGAAGCAGCATAAGAGTACCAGTGATAATGCGAAGAATAACAAGAGGAGCATGGCGCCATGAAGCCTGGGAGATCTCGTGGCTCTGGCCATGGTGTTCACGCACACACACACAAGCACACCCTGATCCCTACCCTCCTCTTCCACGCCTAATGGTTTCCGGGTCATGATTCAAGCCTCCCGCGGCCGTTCGGGAGGATGCGGCCGAGGACACTTCGGGCTAAGAAGAAGCAGTATAAGAGTACGTATACGTAGCACCCCGCAGTTGCGGATAAGAGTGAGGGGGCGGCGGGGACGTTTGCAGTCTGCGAGGCTCTGAAGAGGCCCGCCGCAGGCGCAACATTTTCAAGCTATACAACGAGCCCGCCGCAGGCGCCGATTTTTTGTTAAAGCAACGTCTGTGGTGGGTCGCGGGTTGGGTCGCAGGTGGGTCGCGGGTGGGTCGACGGTGCGTCGCGGGTGTGTCGCCGGCTCTCCACCTCCACCTGGAGGGAATTCAAAAACAGCCCGCCGCAGGCGCCGAAAATTTTGATTTGTACACTGAACGCGATTTGGGTCGCGGGTGGGTCGCAGATTCTCCAACTGGAACGAATGCAAAAGAAGCCCGCCGCAGGCGCCCGAAATTTTGGGTGGGTCGCGGGGTGGGTCTCGCGGATGGGTCGCCGGGGGGGTCGCGGGGTGGGTCGCGGGCGGGTCGCGGGGTGGGTTGGGGTGGGTCGCGGGTGGGTCGCGGGTGGGTCGCGGGTGGGTCGCGGGGTGGGTCGCGGGTGGGTCGCGGGGCGGGCCGCGGGTGGGACGACGACAACAACAAACAAAAACAAAAACAACAAACAACAAACAAACAACGACACACAACAACAACACACAACAACAACAGCAACAACAACAGCAACAACAACAACAGTAACAACAACAACAGCAACAACAACAACGATAATCCGCATCGCGGAATTCCACTTCAGCGACGTACCGAGGGACAGTGAATGACCGTTCGGTTCAGCCCCCCCACTCTGATCAGTGAGAATGCGAATGGTAAGAAGAGCATTGCGCCATGAAACCTGGGAGATCTCGTGGCTCTGGCCATGGTGTTCACGCACACACACACACAAACACACCCTGATCCCTACCCTCCTCTTCCACGCCTAATGGTTTCCGAGTCATGATTCAAGCCTCCCGCGGCCGTTCGGGAGGATATGCGGGCACCCTCAGAAAACCCTCGACGAGGCGCAGCTGGCGGAGAGCATCCCGAGGAGAGAGTATCTCCAAGAACCGACGAATCCTCCCTCCATAAACCAACGAAAACGAACACGAAAACAGGCGATCGACATCTTATCCACACCCATGGCTTGCGACCCCGACCCCCCACGAGGAGCCAGAGCGGGGACATGGATGAATTCCTGGCGCGCAGAATTGAGGGCATCAGCAGGAGTTACAGTCGGCCCGTACAATAAGAATGCGCGACAAGGATGCAAGGGCCTTGGGCGCCCCTTTCGAAACTTTTCGAGCCGGGCGCGGCCAACGAAAGCGACCAAGGACTGGACAAGGAGGCAAGGATGCAAGGGTACCCTTGGGAAGGTTGCCCGTCCTTACTATGCGGTTTGACTGTATGGATCGAGCGCCGATCGTCGAGAAAGCGTCGACGCTCCACCTCTGCTCGTCTCGGGCTGCGGCTGGGGCCGCCTGGAAGTCCACGGGGGCGTCCGTGGGGACCGAGTCTCCCGCGGCGGCGGCGGAGTCCTGCGCGCCCTCCGCGTGGGGCGGGCCGGAGGACGAGGAGGGAAAGAATCGTAGGACAACAATGATAACGATAACGATGACGATCACAACGATCACAACGATAACAACCATACTACCGATCACACCACACCGACAACGAAAACGGTGACGATCACAACGATCAGCGATCACGCTGTTGACGCTATCGTGCTGCTATCGTTGTCGTTGTAGTTGTGATCGTTGTGCTCGTTGAAAGAACATGACGCCAGCTCGATGGCCGCGGACTTCGGGCGTGCAACTTTTCCTTTACAAGACAGGCTGGGGCTGGAATTATGTCGGGCCTGTCCCCCTACAGGGGGATTTTCGACTAAAAATAAATGATACTCCCAAAATAATCCAACAATAATTCAAAAATAATCCGGGAACCATTTACCTAACAGCTTTTGCTGATAGGTTTCTAGTGGGGTCAAAAAAAAGCAGCAGATGACTCCACAGGGGGGTCGGGACGGCATCCGGGGAGCTGTGTCCGAACTCGTGTCCGAATGCGCTTTTCGCAAACAGTCACACACTTCGTGCTCTTCGACCTCCCAGAACTTCATTCCCGGGCCACATTCTGAATGCCCGGAACCAACTGTAAGCCACTTCGTGCTCTTCGACATCCCAGAACTTCATTCCCGGCCCGCATTCTGAATGCCCGGAGCCAACTGTAAGCCACTTCGTGCTCTTCGACTTCCCAGAACTCCATTCCGGGCCACATTTTGAATGCCCGGAGCCAACTGTAGGCCACTTCGTGCTCTTCGAGTTCCCAGAACTCCATTCCCGGGCCACATTTTGAATGCCCGGAGCCAACTGTAGGCCACTTCGTGCTCTTCGAGTTCCCAGAACTCCATTCCCGGGCCACATTTTGAATGCCCGGAGCCAACTGTAGGCCACTTCGTGCTCTTCGAGTTCCCAGAACTCCATTCCCGGGCCACATTTTGAATGCCCGGAGCCAACTGTAAGCTACGATTTGCTCTTCGAGTGCCCAGAACTCCATTCCCGGGCCACATTTTGAATGCCCGGAGCCAACTGTGGGCCACTTCGTGCTCTTCGAGTTCCCAGAACTCAATTCCCGGGCCACATTTTGATGCTGATGCAGAGGCTGAGAATGGTGATGCTGATGCTGAGACTGAGGGTGAAGCAGGCAGGCTGAGGCTGATGAGGCTGAGGCAGGCTGAGGCTGAGGCCGAGGCCGAAGGCAGGCTGAAGCAGACGCTGAAGCAGGCTGAGGCTAAGGCTGAGGCTGAGGCTGAGGCTGAGGCAGGCTGATGCTGAGGCAGGCTGAGGCTGAGGCTGAGGCTGAGGCTGAGGCTGAAGGCAGACTGAGGCTGAGGCAGGCTGAGGCTGAGGCTGAGGCAGGCTGATGCTGAGGCAGGCTGAGGCTAAGGCTGAGGCTGAGGCGGATGCAGGCTGATGCTGAGGCAGGCTGAGGCACAGAGGCTGAGGCTGAGAATGGTGATGCTGATGCTGATGCTGAGGCTGAGGCAGGCAGGCTGAGGCTGATGAGGCTGAGGCAGGCTGAGGCTGAGGCCGAGGCTGAAGGCAGGCTGAAGCAAACGCTGAAGCAGGCTGAGGCTGAGGCAGGCTGAGGCTGAGGCTGAGGCTGAGGCAGGCTGATGCTGAGGCAGACTGAGGCTGAGGCTGAGGCTGAAGGCAGACTGAGGCTGAGGCAGACTGAGGCTGAGGCTGAAGCAGGCTGAGGCTGAGGCAGGCTGAGGCTGAGACTGAGGCAGACTCAGGCTGAGGCAGGCTGAGACTGAGGCTGAGGCAGGCTGAGGCTGAGACTGAGGCAGGCTGATGCTGAGGCAGGCTGAGGCTGAGGCTGAGGCAGGCTGAGGCAGACGCTGAGGCAGGCTGAGGATGAGGCAGGGTGAGGCTGAGGCTGAGGCTGATGCAGGCTGAGGCTGAGGCAGGCTGAGGCTGAGGCCGAGGCTGAAGCCAGGCTGAGGCTGAGGCTGAAGCAGGCTGAGGCTGAGGCTGAAACAGGCTGAGGCTGAGGCTGAAGCAGGCTGATACTGAGGCAGGCTGAGGCTGAGGCAGGCTGAGGCACAGAGGCTGAGGCTGAAGGCAGACTGAGGCTGAGGCTTCAGCAGGCTGAGGCTGAGGCTGAGGCAGGCTGAAGCTGAGGCTGAGGCAGGCTGCTACTGAGGCAGGCTGAGGCTGTGACTGCGACTGCCGCTGCCGCTGCGACTGTCATCGCGAATGCGACTGCGACTGCGAGAACAGCAGAACTCTACAACTGGATTCTCATATGAATCTTAAGGGGAATGCTTCCATGTATGCTTCTACACATCGCTGTTAGGTTGCTTTGCCGGGATATTTTTCCCTAACAGCGAAGACTGATAGGTTTCTAATGGTGTCAAAAGAGAGCATCTGATGACTCAGAAAGGAGGTCTGGGCGGCATCCGGACAGCGAGGGCCGGGCTCAGGGCTGGGCTCGTTTTCAACAACCGTCACACACTTCGTGCTCTTCGACCTCCCAGAACTCCATTCCCGGGCCACATTTTGAATGCCCGGAGCCAACTGTAAGCCACTTCGTGCTCTTCGACTTCCCAGAACTCCATTCCCACGCCACATTTTGGATGCCCGCAGCCAACTGTAGGCCACTTCGTGCTCTTCGACTTCCCAGAACTCCATTCCCGGGCCACATTTTGGATGACCGGAGCCAACTGTAGGCCACTTCGTGCTCTTGGACTTCCCAGAAAACAACTCCCGGGCCACATTTTGAATGCCCGGAGCCACCTGTAAGCCACTTCGTGCTCTTCCATTTCACAGAAATTCACTCCCGGGCCACATTTTGAATGCCCGGAGCCAACTGGATGCCACCTCGTGCCCTTCCACTTCCCGAACTTCCAAGACTCATCATCTTCATTATCATCATCGTCCCCGTAGCCTTCTTGGCTACAGCCCTGCTTTCGAAGATTTCCTTTCAAAAAGAATTGCGCAGTGCCTACTGCACACCTCAATGCCAGGACATGCTGATAGTTCTCGGTCTGGCGGCGGTGCTCCTGACCCTGCTGCATTGAACAGCGGTGCTCCTCAGCGCTGCTGCTGCTGTTGCTGCTGCTAGTGTAGCTATTGCTACTGCAACTACTGGCAGTGCCACTGCGACTGCCGCTGATGTTGCCACTGCGACTGCCACTGCGAATCCGAATGCGACTGCGAGAACACCAGAATTCTACAACAGCACTCTTACATGAATACCACAGGCAATGTTTCCAGCTATGCTTCTACACGTCGCTGTTAGGTTGCTTTGCCGGGATAATTACCTAACAGCTTTTGCTGATAGGTTTCTAGTGGGGTCAAAAGAGAACATCTGGACTCCACAGGGGGGTCTGGGCGGGTGCCGGGGAGGAGGGCCGGGAACAGAGCCAGGCTCGTTTTAAGCCAACAGTCACACACTTCGTGCTCTTCGACCTCCCAGAACTCCATTCCCGGGCCACATTTTAAATAACCGGAGCCAGCGGTCACACACTTCGTGCTCTTCGACCTCCCAGAACTCCATTCCCGGGCCGCATTTTGGATGCCCGGAGCCAACTGTAGGCCACTTCGTGCTCTTCGAATTCCCAAAACTCCATTCCCGGCCAACATTTTCCATGTCCGGAGCCAGTAGTAGTAGTAGTAGTAGTAGTAGTAGTAGTAGTAGTAGTAGTAGTAGTAGTAGTAGTAGTAGTAGTAGTAGTAGTAGTAGTAGTAGTAGTAGTAGTAGTAGTAGTAGTAGTAGTAGTAGTAGTAGTAGTAGTAGTAGTAGTAGTAGTAGTAGTAGTAGTAGTAGTAGTAGTAGTAGTAGTAGTAGTAGTAGTAGTAGTAGTAGTAGTAGTAGTAGTAGTAGTAGTAGTAGTAGTAGTAGTAGTAGGTAGTCGTAGTAGTAGTACTACTAGTAGTAGTAGTAGTAGTAGTAGTAGTAGTAGTAGTAGTAGTAGTAAGTAGTAGTAAGTAGTATGAGTAAGGATGAGTAATTAAGTAGTAGTAGTCGTAGTAGTGGTAGTCGTAGGGGTAGTAGTAGTAGTAGTAGTAGTAGTAGTAGTAGAAGTAAAAGTAGTAGTAGTAGTAGTAGTAGTAGTAGTAGTAGTGGTAGTCGTAGTAGTAGTAGTAGTATCGTGTAGTAGTAGTAGTAGTAGTTAGTATTGGTAGTTAGGAGTGTTAGTAGTAGTGGTCGTAAGTAGTAGTAGTCGTAGTAGTTGTAGTAGTAGTAGTAGTTTAGTTAGTAGTCGTAGAGTAATACAGTAGTAGTTCGTGGGGTAGTAGTAGTAGTAGTAGTGGTAGATAGTAGTAGTAGGTAGTAGTACGTTAGTAGTAGTCGTCTAGTAGTAGTGTCGGTTGTAGTAGTAGTTAGTAGTAGTAGTAGTAGTGTGGTGGTAGTAGTTGTAGCTAGTAGTGTAGATTGCCCTCCCTGCGCTAATACCGTGCAGCAGCAGCTGCAGTCGTTAGTCGTAGTAGTAGTAGTAGTAGGTTATTAGTAGTAGTCGTCGTAGTAGTAGTAGTAGTAGTAGTAGTAGTAGTAGTAGTAGTAGTAATAATAGTAGTAGTAGGAGAAGTAGTCGTAGTAGTAGTAGTAGTTGTAGTAGTAGTAGTAGTAGCAGTAGTCGTAGTAGTAGTACTAGTATTAGTAGTACTAGTAGTGAGCCGACTGAAGGTGTAGTCGTAGTAGTAGTAGTAGTAGTAGTAGTAGTAGTAGTAGTAGTAGTAGTAGTAGTAGTAGTAGTAGTAGTCGTAGTAGTAGTAGTAGTAGTAGTAGTAGTAGTAGTAGTAGTAGTAGTAGTAGTAGTAGTAGTAGTAGTAGTAGTATGTAGTAGTAGTAGTAGTAGTAGTAGTAGTAGTAGTAGTAGTAGTAGTAGTAGTAGTAGTAGTAGTAGTAGTAGTAGTAGTAGTAGTAGTACTAATAGTAGTAATAGTAGTAGTACTAGTACTTGGATGCCCGGAGCCAACTGTAAGCCACTTCGTGCTCTTCGACTTCCCAGAACCCCATTCCCGGGCCACAT